TGTCGGCGAAGCCGTCGGGCACCGAGCGCAGAGCCGCCTACCCGAGGCACGCGCGGGCGCCCAGCCTGCTGGCCAAGAGCATCCTCGAAGGTAGGGACCGCTCCGCGAGCCTCCCCCTCGCTCCTCCGCGCTCCCGAGGGCGGCCCCGGCGCGCCTCGACGTGCGCTCGCCGCCTTCTCTACCTTATTATTCCCCAGCCTATTAGCATTTCTTTCTTCTTCCGAGCTTATTTATTTATTTTCTGGTTTATTTAAAACCTCCTCTCCTCCTCACTTCGTTCGAACTGATGTGGTAGAGTGGGGCTGTTTTTCCGGAGAATAGAGCGGGGCTGTTTGTCCGGATAAAAACTAAAAAAAAGAATCAAAAACAAAGCCCAAAAGATAAGATTAAAATAAAATCAAATGAAGTAAAATAAAAGAGAAAAAAAAAAGGAAAAAGAAAAAAAGGAGAAAAAAAAAAAAAAAAAAAAAGGAAAAACCCGCAAAATGCTGGCAGCCCTCGGCTGAAATTTGAGAGTGACTGTTACAAGTTAATGTTCCTTTTACATGGCTACCCAGCAGCAGTGTTTTGTGGTACGGAATAATTTACTCTGCTAGTCTTATTTGGAAATTAACATAATAAAACATAATGATTTTTTTTTCTAACTGAACATCTAACACAGCAGTCTCATTTACCCTGTTACCAATAATAAGATAAGTACAGAAGACCGACATTTTAGTTCTCTGTATTTTTCTGAGGAGGCAGATTTTTACTCTCCCCTCTACTCTGCATTCAAATTTATTTCCATGACTGTTTTTGCTACTGTACCAAGTTGGAATTTTTTTTTTTTAAATTCAAATTTAGCTTTCTTTTTCAAAAGAAAAAACTCTTTGCAAGTGTCTGTCTGCTTAAAATTTTGTCCTGTTAGAAATTTTTCTCTCTTTTTCCTTCTGCATTTCACTCTTTTAAAATCTCTTCTGTGTTCTTTCCTCTAATTTATCACAATTTCTCTTTCTTCCTTCCTAGTTCTTTTTATGATTTTCTTCTCTCTAACAAAGTGCATAAAATGATTCATCTTCAGAAAACGAGAAAGGCATCAGCCATCGGTACAGATATCTTCCCTGGCAATGGGCAAACCTTTGTGAGATGAGTTGGGGTGAAAACAGGCAAAACCCTATTGCCCTTATTGAAGCTCATAGTTCTGCTGATTTGATGGGGTAGTTTATCCAGGTAGAGCAAACAGCATTGGACGAATTAATAGTTATTTTGAATGAATTTAGTTAAAATAGATGGCTGAGTGACTGCTGGATTTTTAGGTTGCACTTCAGTTTTCTTTTAGTGTAGAAAAGGAAGGAATGTTTCAATACTCCCCTTGTTTGCTAAAAACGCATAGTTATCCCCTTCAGCTGCATGATGCAATACCACTTACAAAACACAGCAGGATTTTGCCTTTTTTTTTTTCCCTTCCCTCTCCCTTCTGCCTGCAGTTCCAAACCCGTGTTTTTCAATGACAAAAGGTATCTCTCGAGGACTCGGTACCCGCCGGAGGAGCCGGCTCGCTCCGCGGAGCTCAGCCCCTCGCGGGCTGGTGTCAGATGGAGCCGGCGGCGCCCGGACGCCGCTCGCTGCGGGGCAGGACGTAAGGATTTGCACGCCGGGCTCCGCTCCTAATGCTGCTCTGTTGTTTTTAGGTTACCGTCCCATCCCCACAG